GAATACAGTAATATAGCATAGCACAAAGGAAGCATAGCACAATGCAGCCATTGAAAAGAATAAAATAACTCTGTCAGCATCCTTGGAAAGTTGTATGCCTGCTATGTGCCAGGATGTGCTGGGCTTTCTTTAAAATATTTCCAGAAACTTATTTTCTTTTGATGATTTATAGTTTACCTAATAAGGGATGATTTTTTGGTGCCTATGTTATAGCCAACTCTTCAATATAAAAGATAGCAAGTTATGAAGAATAATAGGTAAAAAAGTGAGTTAGAAGTAGGTAATTTGGGAATATGTTTTGTGTTTTTTACTATTTTACATGGGAGGGAATATTAGGAACATTGTAATTGAAACCACAGACTTTGGAGTCAGACTGATCAGGATTTGAATACTGACTCTACCACATGATTGTGGAACCATGTCAATAAGTTCTTCAAGCTTGATATTTCTTATCTGTAAAATGGAGATGATTACAGGCTCTAGTCCTGCTGTGAAGATTAAATACGGTAATGCTTATAAAAGTGCTAGCACAGTGCTTAGTTCATAGTAAACACTTAATATATGTTAGCTTTTGTTAATTATTAGTAAGTAAAGAATATACTTTTTAAAAAATGATACCTTTGAGCTTTGAATACCTTAAAACTTTTTATAAAGAAAATTTTAAAAACAAATTGAATTAGGATGTGGATATTTTAAATTTTAAGATAGTTGATTTTATTCAGTGTGCTATTTATAAACAAGCTGTGGTTATCTTATAATTACATAACATTCCTGAGTTGTGTGTTGGGGATCCCCAAGACCAACCCCAGGTTCAGTGATTTGCTAGGAGGGCTCACAGTTCTTAAAATATAGTCATATTCATGGCTGTGATTTATTATAGTGATGAAAAGATACAAAGCAAAATCAGCGAAAGGAAAAGACCATGAGACGAAATCCAGAGGAAACAGGTGCAAACTACCAAAAGTCCTCTCCTAGTAGAATCACGTAGGACATACTTAATTTCTCCTGATATGAGCTATGACAACATACTGAAGTGTTGTCTACCAGGGAAGATCACTAGAGTCTTAGTGACTAGAGTGTTTACTGGAGGATGGTCGTGGAGGCATCCTCTGCTACCATGTAGCAGAATTCCAAACTTCAGGAAGGAAAACAGACCGTTCAGCATAAATCACATTGTTTTTTGGCTTTTTTTTGTTAAAGATTTTATTGGGGAATTGGGGGAGGGGAATGGCACTTGGGAGTCGGGGGAAGGGGAACAGACAAGTTGCTGTCCTTTTGTTCTTCAGTCTAGTTGTGGAGGACATTGCTTCACTGGCCCATGTTGGTATCATCATTGCTTTCTTCCCGGGTGACACAGATCGGCCGCTGGCCTCTCAAAGGCCACTCACGGTGGCTCTTGGCTGTTCACACCGGCTGCCTGCCACTCATGCTGGTTGCCAGCCACACACAGTAGTTTATGACAGCCCACTGCAGCTTCACTGCAGGCTACGCCATCGCCGACGACTCATGGCAGCCCAGCTCCAGGTTGAGCTGTTGTTCACCACCTTAGCTGTAGAGGGCAGTGTCACTGGTCCTCATGTGGGATCCGAACCGGGGTCCTGCTTCTCAGAGTCGGTGTCCCAAGGCAGCTCTTAACCAATGTGCCACTTGGCCGGCCCTGAATCACATTGCTTTTGTAAACAGTTTAGGCACAGTGAGCCATTCTTACTAGGAAATGATAGAAGTCTCCTGAAATCCAAGTTCCTAGACACCAGCCAAGGGCCAGCCTTGTAAGAAGACCTTTGAAAGGATAGCAGTCTCAGGCCTATGTTAACTGTTTTATATACACTCAGTTTCTCTTTTATGATAAAAAGAAAATTCCTAGGATTAGAAAGAGTGAATATGAAGCCCTAAGTACAGTTCCTGAGTGTTAGTGCACAATAAATAATACCTACTGTAGCTGTTTTACAGTAAGGTATAGGGGCCTCGAGCTCTTTAAGAGGTACATTAGTTAGCAAACCGGTTTCCTATGAGGGAGAAATGAAAAAAAAAAAATCTACCCTTCTCAAAGCAAGCAAAGCTAAGTTTTCATTTATATTAAAACTATATTTCATTTAGGGAGTGAATATTTTAGGGTAATATATTTGACCTTAGTTTTCCCTGATTCTGTTAAAATGTAGGTGATATGAGAAATGAAGCCAACAGGTACAGACCCAAGGATCTTATCTCTAGCTGCTGAAGTTGCAAAAAGTCCTGAGCAGAGTGTCCCTGTTATACTGTTGAAGTTAAAAGGTAAGAAAATCTTTTTCTGATTTGCAAACATTGTTTAAGTAACAAAACAATTTCATCATTGGTACAATTTTAGCATTTGTTTCCAATTTGTTCAGCGAAATCTTAAGATCATGATAAAACAGGATTTTTTTTTCTTTTTAATGTATTTCTAGTTATTATTCAACCTATAAAAATATAGATTTGTCAATTGTATTGGAATAACTATGTATAGTGTCAGATGGGTAGTAGACTTGTTGGGGTTATCACTTTATGAGTGATGTTTAATTATCTTGTTTTATATACCTGAAACTAATAAAAAAATTATTCTGAACCACAGTAAAAAAAACAATAATGCACACAC